GAAAACTGTTGAGTATTAAGATATGGCATATGATAATCTTTGCATCTTTAGTTCGTAAATTTGTTGCATTATTTTTAGCTTTACTTCCTAAGTTGATCCTAAAGTTCTCAAGTTTATTTTGCGATATCTATTAAGATTAAAATGTGTGATATATTATTAGGGAATTTTTGGTCTTTCACTAATCAAATTTATATATTTATGCAATAAGACTCCAGTTTATCCAACATCCGGGGCCGATCTATGCCCAAGTCCTATATACACTACCACAAACAACATTTGTACGATATACTCTAAGTACCAGAGTCATTTGCGTAGGTGACAAATTCCGAGAACGCCAGCCACAAAAACTGAAGCTCAGCTGAATGCTGAGACATTTTTCGCTTCTGTCTGTCTCCTTTGCAGCGGATTTTCGTTTTTACATTCATTTTGCTACACTTCAAGCTAAATTGCACAAATCTTTTGTATCACCTTTTCTTTTCATTATTTCTTTTGCCTTTAAACCGTAACTTTATTTATTGCTTTAATAAGTCAAATGGCTTAATTTAGTTAAGCAAATAATATGAATAACTTTCCGCCTGCATTGATTGTATGAACTCAAATCAAATTTCGGGCTTTGAAAAACCTTTCAAGGCGAAACGCCTAATTGTAATTTATATCCATGTGGATTATGAATGTGTAAATTCGAGTATGAATTACGCAAGACGGAGCCGAGCCGCTGCTGGTCCATTAGAAGTAGAAAAAGTAATGTGAATTTATGTCGAACAATGACAGCTGCGAGCAGAATGATGGATGAAACTAATCCTTGCCTGGAACTAAAGGACTCAAGTCCATTCCGATTGCCTTCAGTTCGGACATGTTCGATGCTCAGTGCAGCAGCTGCAGCAATCTAAACAAATTAACTCAAATTGTGAGCTGCACATTAAGTGAAATGAGAGCTTATTAGGACTTGGGGTAAGGTAACTGAGCCATAAAATAAAATCACTCAACTTAAGTTGACAAAAGTTTTTCAATAAAGCGCGACGCCAGCGCCAAAGCCAAAGTCGAAGTCGAGGGCGAAGTCGAAGTCGAAGCCGACATGGCCTGGCCCTGGCCGCAGCCAGGAATACAAAATCTTTTAACTAGTTGTAACTCAATGAAGTGCAGCGGGCAAGCGGTTCGCCAGCAAGGACAAATCCATGGCATTGACTCAAGCCAGACAGCGAGAGAGAGAGAGAGAGAGAGAAGGGGGGAGTGAGAGCGAGCGAGATTTACTGCGAAAGCAAAGCTCGACACGAAATATGCATCGAAATTTTCAATTTACATGGCCAGCGGACGACGAGAGCTCGACGGGCATGAAAACGTCGCCGAGCTCCATTAAAATGTAACCAAAAATATATATTAGACAGACAGACAGACAGACAGAGAGAGAGAGAGGAAGAGAGGGGGAGAGAAAGAGTGGGTGCGGGAGAGAGCGAAAGCTGCTCAGATAAAGAAAATAACAGTTGTTCAAGTTCTTAAAGAGCCATAAAATTGAAACAACTTAAACAAGAACTTTGGCCGTCCCGCTCTACGCTTGCTCTCCCTTTCGCTCTCACGCTGAGCCAAACCATGGATCTGCATATTTTTGCGACAAGTTGAGCACAGACGTCTGTCGGCGTCGCAGTGTCTCTGTGACTTGAGAGCAGGCAAACAAGTTCGTTGCCGAATGCTGACATCGACGTCGACGTCGACGTCGACAGCGACAGCGACAGCGACAGCGACAACAGTTTGTCAAATATTTAAACGGCAACAGCTCCGACAACAGCAGCAACAGCAAAGAGTTGCACTTTCTAATGCATAATTGTTTAGTTGCTGTCAAACGGCCAAAACTTGAGCTGCATCAGCAGCCCAATTAAATAATGTAGCATGCTTTTTGGGGCACCGACCGAGCTGCAGCTGCGAGCTGCACAATGCGGGCTGAAAGGCATGAATTAGCGTGACATGCGGCAGGCATATGTCCAGTATATATGTATAAATAAACAAAAATATATATATATATATATATATATATATATATATATATATATATATATATATGTACATTGACTAGATTCATGCTGCTTTTAGCTTTGGCATTTTGCTGCTGCTGGCAGCTTATATAAAAAAAGCTTTAAATTAATTACTTTGTTTTAATCATTTCAAAAAATGTGACTTTAAATGTAAATATATAAAACGCTATCAATAAACTCTTTTTTTTATTATAATTTGAAATAGAATCTATGCATACAGTGAGTAATATTAATATTCGTGTTTTTCATTTTTCAACTTTAAACGCCAAAATCGGCTCCAAGGACCCAACAAAAACTGTAACATTTATACCAAAACATCTAAAGGACACTCTAAAATATAATGGATATCATACCAAGTATTAAACATAAACCATTTTTAATAAAAGTCGAATCTGGTCAGTTGCTAACGAAAAACCCGAATATTGAAATAACGCCAAATTTTGGGGGTTTTTTTTCGGTATATGTATACTATTAAATTGATATAGACATCATCGGAAAGGCAATTTTTTAATCTACAATTTAGTATTTTCACTTTTTTAATTTTAATTAATATTTCATGTTTAATAGGCGTTTGAAGTTGAAAAAAAAAAAAATAATAATAAACGAATATTAATGTTACTCACTGTATGTATACACATAATTTATTTACTTCATTTAATATATCATAAAAAGATTTTATTTTAGCCACACTATTTTTATTTTTTTTTTTTTTTCAAAATGATTTGATTATTTTTTTAATATTAAAAAAAAAAAATCTTTTCAAATTAAGCTTTGGTTTTAGCTGCACAGCAAAATTCGTCGAATTAGTTGCATTTCTTATTTATATAAAAAATATTTGAAAATTTCAATTTCTGACCATTCAACAACATAGTACTGTTAATCCAGCATTAATTATTTAAGACTAAATTTCATTTTTGTCTGATATAAAATGATCAAAGTTCAGCAAGGAATTTGCCAAATAATAAAAGCTCGAAATCAATTCAAATATGCTGCTGGGCTTTGTTGAGCTGCACAAGACTGAAAGTATATGGATGTCTATACATATATGCATACTTATATGCATGCGTATGTGTGTGTGTGTGTGTGTATGCTTATGAGTGTGCCTGTTTATATGTATTTGCTGAGCATGTGTCCTTTCGTCTGTCTTTATTTTGCGCTATATTAAATTCATAAATATGCAAAATTCTCCCATGGCAAATGCAAACAATGTGTGTGTGTGTTAGTATGTGTGTGTGTGTGTGTGTGTGTGTAGGTGTATGCATGTATTATTTAATACAAGCTACAAGCCTGTTGCATAGACATCGCCAGACCAGGCCAGGCACTTAACGGCACTTGAATGCCGCAGCGGCAAATTCTCAACTCAAAATCTATGAATATTATGAACAAGAACAAGTTCAATGATAATGCACACAATGAGAATACGTACAATATTAATGATAATCATAATGATAATTATTAATAGTATTGCTAGTAAACGATACGGCAATAACAATAGCAAAAAGTCATGCATATTTATGAAATACATTCAGCTTTTGCTCTTGAGCTTGAGCAAACCAACTGAGTTTTGCCTGCATTCAGATTTCAATTGCAGCTAATGCACAGTTAACAGTTAACAGGTAAATAAGTGTGATTATCATGTGGAATATGCGTAGTATATATACATGTCTATAAATATGTGTGGAATATTCATCTCTCTATTGTTTGCCTGCACAATCGGAATAACTGAGTTGAGTCTCTCTATGCATATGGATGGACAATGACTAGACTGAAGTGTATCGATGTTAATGAAGGATCCATGCGCTTACAACTACATATAGATGCACAGACATACATAGTAGAGATATATACATATGTTAGCTACTCCTACACAATATGCTCAGTCTATGCGAAATTTCATATAATTTTATACTTTATACGAGGTTGGCTTTAAAAATATGTAAGCATATAATTCCTTATTATATTTATTATTATACATAGTATATTTTTTGATCTCACATTTTCATTAATTTTAAGTATTCAGTCAGTCTTCTATACCGAACTGGTAAAGCTGTCCTAGTCGAACGGACGCACAGAGAGTTAGACAGACGGACAGTGCTAAATTGTCTCAGCTCTTCGCCCTGATCAACAGTATATATACTTCCTAGGCTCTGCCTCTTAAATACATTTCGATAAAACCAATTTGCACAGATTTCCCATTTTCAAGAGTTCAAAACTTGTGTGACTATCAATCAAAATATAAAATATCAAAGTTGGCAATTTCTTTAGTTTATTCTTAAATCTATATACTAAATTTGGTAGAGTCAAGTTGTTAGTTAAAAGAAAGAAAGCCAATAAATTTTCAAGAGTTTATTCAGCAGAATTCAAATCAGTTAGATGTGCTTCAGGCTCTTCCGTGAAGACTTTAGCTCAATAAGAGTTTAGTAATTTAATTATCTGCTTGTAGTTGAATTTTTGGTTAATAATTATAGTATTAATAATAATTGCGGGAGTGTCACAATTAACGCTAACTACAAACAATGGAAGTGGCAACAGTTTGTGGCACGTTGATGATTTAATGCGGCATTTAAAATATGAGCATAAACAGCAAACAAATTGCCACAATTATGTTGCACTTGAGCCAACCCCCAAGTGGGGGGCCACATGGGGCATCATTGTGTATGCCTTTGTGTGTGTGTGTGTGTGTGTGGGTGAGTGTGGGTGTGTTTGTTGCTGTGTGGCACTCGTGCTATGCCTGTTTGAGTGAATGCAAACACGAATGAGTGAACTGAAAATGAGTGCGATTTGAATGCCTTTCATGCAAGTGCAGAGTCTATACATACATACATACATACATATATAGCTATGTCTAAATTGATATATATAACAGCGATAATGATCTAAATGTGGGTGAGTTGTTTTCTCAATTCGAGGTGCAGTGCATTGAGTTGTAAATGTGAGCTGTGAGCGTTTTGCATTCTTGATTGATGCCCATACCAAAGCGAAACTCCTTGCGTTTATTACCCTTGCCAGGGTGTTTAGCGTTCATGCCCATGCCCGATCCCGATCCCGTTCCCGAGCCTGAGCCTGAGCCCGAGCCAGAACCCGAGCCAGAGCCCAAGCCAGATCCCGTTCCCGAGCCCGATCTCGGACCCGATCCCATGCCAGCATGCGAGGCTCGCACCCGCAAGATGCGCGGCTGTGCCAGACGCTTCACGCGCGGCTGCGGCACAGCAGCTGCTTCGGTTGAGGCTGCTTAATGTGGTTGATTGATATGAATGGGTTTATATATAGTTATATATATATATATATATATATATATATATATATATATATATATATATATATATATATATATATATATATATATATATATATATATATATATATATATATATATATATATATATATATATATATATATATATATATGCATATGTTAGTGTTTTTTTCGATCATAACAGAGACAACAATGGCATTAATAAATGGGGAAGAAAGAGAGACAGAGACAGCACCGTTTTAGTAGAATGTTTTCATTGGGCGCAGCTCGAACTGTTACTAGGAAGCGGATTTGGTTAGTAGAAATGCAAATATGATAAATATATATATATATGTATATGGGATGGGCTTTAAATGGGGAATGCAATCATTCGATTAGCACCACTTGACTCACTTTTCACACGCAGCCAGGTGTACGCCGACTTCTCGCCGGCCTCGTTGGTCGCCAGACATTGGAACATGCCCTCATCCTCCAGCGTCAGTTTTTTAATTATCAGCGTATTATCGGCTTTCACTGAGTACCTGCAATGTGTTTAACATTCATGAGTTGTAATTATTCACAAATATAGCCAGCCCGCCCACCTCCCTCCTGCAGCTGATACCGACTACACCACACTAATTGAGCTTTACGCCTATTTATCGAAATCGCTATGCTGGCATATTTCAGAGCTCTCGATTGCTCCGAATACCGATTTAACATATTTAATGCGTATAGATGGCCGTTCTGCTGTTATATACATGTTTCATAATTGTGCTCTATTGATTCTGTGGTAATTTTCAGCACTGGCCGTAAAACAACCGCAAATGAATTCGGAATTCCAATAACAAATTATAAGTGTTGCAAGTGTTGTTTAAGCACAAATTGCCTTGAGCCTATGGAGTTTTACAGCACTAAGCTGCGCACTTAACAGCACTGCCCAACTATTCCGATATAAGAGTGTTGAAAAATATTGTCTAATAGGGTTTCATAAACCTTAAATATCCTTCAGCTCATTAGTTGATCTTTTACTCAACACTATACTGCTCACTTAGCAACACTGCTTAGCTATTCTTATATAAAAGTGTTGGAAAACACTGTCTGCTTTACAGTTCTGTGCCTTAAGTTCAAATTTTGTAGCACCGCTAAGCTATTTTGATGTGCAAGTGTTGGAAAACGCTGTCCTACCCAAACTATCAAACACTAAATATAATTAATCTGATATTTGAACTCCTAGCCAATACAAAAACAATCATTTTACAACACTACCCTACTGTTTTTACACTTAACTGCCTTAAGCTCACATTTAAGCTTCTAGCCAATACTAAAATCTAAATTTTACAACACTATTTGGCGATTTCAATATAAAACTAATTTCACACTTACCCGCCACTTAGTAGCTGCGCATCAATGCGTTCGGCATTGCGGAACCATTGCACCTGGGGCGTCGGATCGCCAACCACGTCGCAGGGCAACATCACCTGACCACCAAAGTCGCCAAAGGTCTCGGCACGCATGGGCGTAAAGAACATGGGCGGCTCGAGGATGTAGACGTGGGCGCTGGCCGTGACCGTCCGAAAGCCGCCGCTGCGCAAACGCACCTGGCAGGTGTACTCGCCGGCATGGGAGCTGTTCGCCTGGAGCAGGGCCAAGGTGCGGTTCCAGGGATTGTTGAGCGTATGCAGAATGCCGGCATTTTCCACGGGCAGTCCGTCCTTCAGCCAAATGGTCTCCAGCTCGTGTAGCGGCCGTGCATTGGCAATGCACTGCAGTTCGGCCACGCCCTCGCCACGCTTCAGTTTCAGATCCTGTGGCGGTACGATTATCTCGGGCGCCACCTCCACAAACGGATCGCCCGTGACATTGAGATGGATAGGGGCGCTCGCCTCCTCCCTGCCCAGTTGGGTGTTCATGGCGTGTGCCCGATACGCGTGACGATCCTGCTCATCGGCGCTGAGCACGATCAGCTGATTGGCCTGGGTCAGGGCGTACTTGATGTCATAGTTGAGCGTTCTATTCTCCGCCTGCCAGGAGACCGAAGGTTTCGGCACCGAATCAATGGCTGGCATGTCGAAGATGGCCGGATGACCGCTGACCACGGTCAAGTATCCCTCGTTCTTGTTCTCGAAGGTGCCCATATCTGTGTGTGTGTGTGTGGAAAACGAAAAGCAAATAAATGAAAACAAATGAAGTACACTGTGGTGAAAATGTGTGCGAGCAGCAACGCCGCCCTCCCCCCTCCCCACCACCCAGCAGAGAGCTTGTTGTGTCACGCGAGCTAATTGAATCAGGCAGCAGTGCCCTCTGACCTGCGGGCTGGCAATTTTTGTTTAACCTCTTATCAAGTGGCACAGCCGCAGACGCAGACGCAGTCCCAGTCCCAGCCCCAGCCCCAGCCCCAGCCCCAGCATGCCCCACTTCACTTCAATTCAGTGTGCTGAAAAGGCAACCCTCTCCGGGGCCCAAACTATGAGCTCTAAAGGTTATTAGTTCAGTTTAAGCGCTCTCCTACAATTAATTAAGTGCTCAAGACGCTTCAGTTCAGCGCCGTCTTGGGCCGCTCCCATGCAGCACGAGTCGTCATCGCCGTCGTCATCGTCATCGTCATCGTCATCATCAACGTTATCACGCAGCTCGTCAGCTTCATGGCTGGTGTGCCCGAAAAGAAGGTCACCAGCTTGTCAAGAGCTCGATTTATTAGGTTCAAGCAGTTGGGTAATGTGTGGTGCACACACACACACACTGACACACACACAGACACACACACTCGCATACGCATAGCCCAAGTGTCGCTCAGAGTCTTTCACATTCGCACGCGCTCTCCCTCCCTCTCTCACTCTGCCTCTCCCTCGCTCACTCTCTCGGTATGTGCGTTACACTTACAGCTCTCTAATTGTATGTTACTTGCTCTGCTGTGACCCTATTGCCACAAAACTGCTTCCTCTTGCTCACGCTCTTGCTCTCGCTCTTACTGCTGTTGTTGTTGTAATTAAGTTCGCATTTAAGAAAAATTAGCAGCTATACCTATAGCTAGGCGAGCTGTGTGACAAGCGTTTGATTGGCAACCAGCCCTTAATTGCCAGCTTGATGGCCTTCCCAACTCTCTGCTCTCATGACACACGGCACACACACATACACCCCTCTCTCTCTCTCTCTCTCTCTTCGCCATCTCTGTCCCCCAAGCATCCTTGTCACTTATCAAGTTGTCAGTTGACACATAGCGTTGCACGTGACTCCCAGCTGAAGTCAGCTGCTGCTGCTGCAACAACTCAGCAGGAGAAGCAACAGCTGACAACAAAAGTTGCCATTGTCTACGCTGGCGATTAGAGCGCAATCTCCTTGTGCTCCTTCACAAGTGCTTCAGCATTGGTGAGTTAATTATGTAATTATCTAGTTACTGCTTATAGCTAATAATAACTAATTGAACCAGCAATAATAATATGTGTGCTCAGCACTTTATATACCAACTAATAATTCCCTAGCACACTTTCAGGCGCGCCAAGGTTTTCATTTTCATTCTGTGTTCGATCGAGTTTTTAAGAACTTAAATTGTCCTGCACTTCTTTTCAAGAGAGGGTTTAGTTTGGCTTCTTACTGAGTTGTTTCATTTGATACAATTATAATGAAACGGAAAACAAATGAAAAACTTTCAAATTCATTTTATAATCATTACGGACTTTTTCTTTCTTCAACTAGATGAAGCGATCGCTGGTGAGTTGGAACATCGCTTAGCTCCTATCATATTTATACCCATTAAAAATGTAATATTTAGGGTGTATTGCTATATTAAAAGTCTATAAGCAAAAGTATATAAACTCTTCCTGAACTGTAAAGTCAATTTTGCATTTCCCTTTGATCGTCTCTCTCGACTCTCTAGAGTCGTTCAGCTCTAACGCTATTCATGAAGACATAGAGCCTTGAAATCTTTCATATTGTATCGGCTTGAGAGCTATTTCCTGTTTTATCGTAGAACCGATATCAAGCTTGCGATTTCTGGGAATTTCTTGCCCTTTTCTACAACTAGGACATATCTCATTTTCACATTTACTTTCAGCTTAAAGTATGCACGACTTACGAACACCTCTACCGTTTCGATAAATGCTACCTCTAACACCTCTGCCGTTTCGATAAGTGTTAATATTTTGTAAAATAACTCACTTTACCAAGAAGCATTTAAAATTGATATTGAGCACCTGCTCAACACACAGATTGTCTAGCATTAACGACTAGAGAGTCTCTCGTGTTATATTATATTCAATTTTAGGTTATATTCATAATTAATAATTCATAATTCGAATATTCATGATATTAATTTTGTTAATTTCTGAGCGTAACCGAGTATGTTTACAGTATTATTGATTTCTGTTCTGTTGTCTAAGCTCAACCTAATTCACATGTCAAATATTGTTAAATAATTGCTGTTCGTAACGTCTAATTATAAATAATGAGCAGCTGAGCTCCACTTGCCTAAGACTGTAATTCAAATGCAGCTGTTACAGTAACAAGAAATGATTAGTCACACAATTTTGGTTGGCTTTATATATATATATATATACTATATATATACTATATATGTATCAGTATATATTTATACATATATCATTAAAATCGTTGACTCTGCTTCTGTTTTTGAGCTCGTTGAAATATTTTTCAATAATGCATTTCAAATGTTTGGTAGACCATAGCTCTTCAGACAGTCAATCAATCAGTCAGTCAATCATTTCAGCTAGTTTTGTATATTTATAAATATTTTTCATATGTTTTATACATATATTTTATTTATGCTTTTTGTGCTAAAACCACATTGGAGCTACTTCAGCTGAGACTGAGCCTTGTTGGAACAAGTGCTTAATGGTTATGTGTGTGCGTGTATGTGTGTGTGTGTGTGCGTGTGAGTTCAATACAAAACATGTCAAATTGACATGCAGACAGGTAGTTAGAAATGTGTTCACACGTCATAAGCAGAAGGCTAATTACAATGGCTTTAGCAACCGGTTTGATGGAACACTTGAAGCTGAATTTGTCACAAAGGGACAGTCAGCACCCGATACAAATATATATATATATATATATTAAGGGTAGATATATATATGTGTGTGTACTTACAGGATACAACAACTTCACTCTTCTCGCTGAAAATGGAGCCAGCCTCGTTTCTGGCTATGCACTGATAGCTGCCAGCATCCTCGCGCTTCGTGTTGTGAATGCGATAAAATTGACTGGATGAATAATCGGCAACGGGTATGCCATCCTTGAGCCAACGATATGTGGGCTGTGGTGAGCCTGTGAATAAAGTTCAAGCATAATGCATAAGTAAAGGTTCAACTGGGTGTGCGTACATATGTGTGTGTGTGTGTGTGTGTGTGTGTGTGTGTGTGGTAGTTGCTGGTTGTACTTGAGCAGAGGGTTCTGGTAGGGGGCACGCATTGTGGCAGCAGCAGCAGGAGTCGCAGCAGCAGCAGCAGCAGGAGTCGCAGCAGCAGCAGGAGTCGCAGCAGCAGCAGCAACAATTCGTATTTCGCATTCCGTATTGTTGCATAATGAACATGTTGTTAAAAACCATATCTCCTTTCTTATGCAGCATCTACTCCATCTCTTTCTTTCTCTCTCTGTCTCGCTCTCAGCTGAGTGCGATTAAATCTTGTGCTGGCCACGCCCAATGCAAAAAAATAGAGCATATTACTTATAGTTCTCGTTGCGAGTGTGTATGTGTGTGTGTGTGTGTGTTTGAGTTTCCGTTGCCTATCGAGGGACCCTCGGCAGCAGCAGCAGCAGCAGCAGCAGCAGCAGGAGCAGCAGCAATAATGGCAACAATGATAGCAGCAGGATGTTGGGCATACTCTCGCCCAACGAGCGCAACGAGATTTGGCACAAAATTTAGCCAAATGCTATCGGAACGGGCAGCTAAATAAACGACTTTGCCATTATTGTTGCAGCGACATTTTTGATACCGATTTGCCGTCGAGCATTTAATTTAAAGTTGATTTATGTGCGGCCAAAAGTGTTGAGAGTTCCTGTTGCTGCTGCCGCTGCTGCTGTTGCTGTTGGAATTGCAATTGCAGTTGCAATTTCTAAACTAAAATTGGATATGGCCTTTGGCCAGTTCGACAGTTCGCCAGGCTAAATGAAGCATTGAATAAAATATGCGTTTTGGCCAACTTTGTTGGAGAGTCTCTACTCTCTCTGGCTCTCTCTCTAGCTCTATTTCCCTCTCTCTATACATACAATATATATTTATATAGAGACTCATCAGCCTACCGAGAACTGCAATCTAATCGCATATTGTCGCTGGCCCACGGCATGCAACAGGATGCGCTCGACTCTGCAGCAAGTGCTGCTCTTTTAGATAGAAAAAAAAAAAATAAATAAATAAATAAACCGTTAGCCAGGGCTACTCCACAGCTGCATGCAGCTGGCATGCCCGCAGGCCAACAACACTTTAACAACTAATCAATAAACTATGCTCAACGACTCTCTAATGCCCTGCCCACTGACTCCTGCTCAGCAAGGGGAGCTGCTCCAAGCAGAGTGCAGGATATTCTAAAAGCCCGAATCGCATATGCATATGCATATGTATTGCCCAATTTCACAACAGTGTATACCTCACGGTGCTCCATACAGGGTGTTTATATGGCGCTGTAATGCCAAATTACACGCAAGTGCGATGGAGCCAGATAGAATGATAGTCAGATGGCTGGATAGTTAGATGGATAGATAGATAGATAGGCAGACAGAGGGAAGATGTGGCCAATGGCAATGCAATTGCATTCAGTTGGCAGCACTTTGGCAGCAGATGAAATCGAATTGGGACAGACAGGCAAAGCCAAAGCCAAAGCTAAAGCTGAAATGCTAGAGGGGAGTCGAAGTGAACGAAATAAAAAGAGCCAAAGCAACAGAATAGCCCGTAAGTGAGCCAGTGCCAGCAAAAAAGAAAGAAAAGAAAAGAAAAGACGAAGCAAGAAGCAAGAAAGAAAACGTGAAGCAAAAGTAAATGCCAAAAGCAATAAAAAGAGAAAGAAGATGCAGGCGAAGAAGAAGCAGCAAAGTTCCTTCAAGTGTTGGCCGGCATAAAAAGTTGGCCTGCAAGCGGCGCTGGGCTAAAGTCTATTTGAGCATTTGGGCAATGACGCAGCTATAAAATTACAATTTGGGGAATTCTAAGGCAAACACACACAAAGACACAGAGACACTGACACACACACACATGCACAGCCAAAAGCTCTCTTTAGTCAACAGCAGCAGCAGTGGCAGCAGCAATGCAAGGCAAATATAGCCAAAGCAGATGCACTGAAAGAAAAACAAGCAAGAAGGCTCCAGTCGAGACTGCTCGACTAGGAGATACCCTGAACCCTCCAAGCTGATATTCTAATCATTCTGCACTTCTTCTATGCACACATACATACACATGCACTTATAAGCACGCGCTCTGCTAACTGCGCAGTAAGCAGCGGCTGCGCTTGGGCTGCGCTGCAATGTGGGCAATATTATGAGAATTTATTTGCTGAATAATATCTTTTGTAGATATACAATCTTAATGAAACTTTCAGAGCGTAATCTCTAGTACTCTAGTACTTGAAATGCGTTTTTTACAAATTGGGGGCGAAGGGGGCGTGGTATCCAAAATCTGTAAATTACAAAATCTTTGTATCCATTAACTTTATATACAACGCAAATTTTGAAGTCTCCAGGTCTAAAAGTGTTCAAATTAGGCTGAAAAAACAATGTCGATTTTTCGATTATTCTCGATAAAAAAGTTATCGGATGAGTTATCGAAAAAATATGATAAACTTGTACTGCCTATGGTATACACGAGTATGCATGCCAAATTTCAGCTCTCTAGCTCTTATATCTTCTGAGATCCTTTTGCTCATACGGACGGACGGACGGACAGGGCTGACAGACGAACAGGGCTATATCGACTCAGCTCGTCGTCCTGATCAAGAATATATATACTTTATGGGGCCTGCGATGATTCCTTCTGCCTGTTACATACTTTTCACAAAACCATTCTACCCTGATTTCCCATTTTCAATGGGTTCAGGGTATAAAAAACACACAAAAACACACAACTAGAACAAGAAGCAGAGTTCTCTCCAGCGGTATGTGTCAGCGTTAAATCGAAGCAAAGGCCCCAATAAGCAGAGAGCAACCCAGCCAGCCGACCAAACACACATAGAACTGAATGGCCGCAGTGCTCGAATGGCCAGCGACCAGTGTCCAGTTCAAGCTGCTGCCTCAAACATGCTCCCACTCCCTCTCTCCCTCCCTCTCTCTCTCTCTCTCTCTCTCTCTGTCTCTCTGATGCTTGCACAAGTGAGTTTTTAATAACTAAACTGACAAAATCCTTTAAGCCCAAGCCACAAAATCGAGTCAGCCAAGCGTCTGGCAGAGCCAACGATTGAAACGAATCGTAATTCGATTCATTTGCTAGCGCCATCTAGACTGTGAAGACTGGCAACACGTGCATTAACAGTCTTTATACTACACCTGCTGCAATTTCAATGAACATAGCTTACATATCTCTCGGTATAGTCGAGATCTTATTTCTAAGATCTCTTCATAGCTTCCCATTTCGTTGTTATCAGATTTTTATAAGATCTATCTGTAGATACTTATCAATTCATAATAGCTTCTTCTTCTAGCTGTGATAACAGTCAAAGCATTAGCTGAGACTATTTTGATTTAATCAGATTTTTATAAGCTCTGTATATTTTGATAATAATATTATAATATATCCTTCGTTTTAAACATGAACGAATTTTTTCGCTACTATGTCAATGAACATCTTTTCAGATCTCTCTATATATCCTTCTATCTATAGTTAATAAGATCTTTCATTAGTTTTTGAGATCTTTCCTTTCATATTTCATCAAATTTCTCTATCTATAAATCAATGAAAATAACTTTTAAGATCTCTATAAATCCCTCAATCTATAGTCAATGAGGTTTATCTTTACCATAGGTTTATCGGCATATTTCTCTATTCATAGTTTAAATAATATTAAAGTAGTTTCTTCTTCATTTGCTACTCTTTCAATTCAAACATAACTATAAATTTCTCTCTAACTTTGTTCAATAATTAATAATAATAACAACATAACTTATTTCATATACTAACTAAATATCTCTAGACAAACGTATCGATTGCCGGTTCAAGTTCTTCAAGCTAACTTAATGCATATTTCAACTCTTTTGGCTAGCAGAGGGCACACACACACATTGCAATGTCGACGGACAGTAGTCCTCTCTCTGTGTGTGTGTGCGTGAGTGCTTTAAATGAAATTCGTTTTTGCACTCAGTGACTCAATCGCTCAATCAATCAATCGTTCAATCAGTCAATGTCTAAGCAAGCGACTGCATATAAATAAATTCAATAAACTGACGACTCCACGCAACAAATTGCATTTTCACGCTTCCATTCGCTGCATGTGTGCGTAGCTAATATCTGTGTGTGTGCGTACGGTCGTATGTGTGTGTGTGTGTGTGTGTCTGTGCACCACCTCATCCTGTTCCGTTGGCTGGCTGTACGGCTTCGTGCATGCCTCGCATAAACAGCGGAAATTGTTTGATTTGTGGCTGTCTCTTTGAAGCGCTCCACAGCTTGCCAACTTGTCGTCTTATGTCACATAACTCGTATCTAAAAATCTCTCTTGGCATAGTCTATCTCTCTCTCTGTCTCCAAGTCTGCCGCCCTGCCCTCTCTCCCTCTCTCTCTCTCACTCGCTTGCTGGATTCATAACCTCCGTAAATTGTCAAAAGGCTCCCAGGGACTACGATATCTATCCAGGACCTGGAACTTACTCAACTGCGCTCGCAGTTGTTGATTCTGATTCATTTGTGCTCATCGATCGTTCTGCTCGGGAGAATACCCTGTACTTTTGAGGTAATGGCAAGCAGCTCTTCACACAGACTATAAAATCTCTAATTGCCATACAAAACTCAACTGAAAATCATAACTGTATACAGGGCATATTACAGGGCATTGGCTAGTCGTGCATGGCCCGCGGCTAGCATTTTTATTTATTCTTTTGTGGTATTAGGTCTTAGTCCTTCGTGTTGCACCTATTTATTTGCCCTCAGTGACGCAGAGGTCTCGTCGCTTAGTCAGCTATGTGCGTGTGTGTGTGTGTGTGAGTGTGTGCCTGTCTGTGTGTGTGTGTGTGTGAGTGTGCAACTCTGTGGCAAATGTTTGCTAAATTATGCACAGTGCAATGCGCCGACGCCGCCCTTTGAGGACCGCAGCAGCAAAAGGCAAAACAGTCGCCAAGAGGACATCTGCCAAG